GCGAGTCTCCTGCCTCAGCCTCCCAAGTAGCTGGGACCACAGGCGCCCACCACAATGCCTGGCTATTTTTTGGTTGCAGCCGTCATTGTTTGGCAGGCCCGGGCTGGATTCAAACTTGCCACCTTAGGTGTATGTGGCTGGCACCTTAGCCACTTGAGCCACAGGTGCTGAGCATGAACTTCTTTTGAAAATAATTTAACGATCTTTAAAAATTTTTGTGGTGGGTAGCACCCGTGGCTTAGCAGGTAGGGCGCCAGCTACTTACACCAAGGCTGAAGGATTCAAACCCGGCCTGGACCAGCTAAAGCAATAATGACAATTACAACACCAACGACAGAATATCTGGGTGTTGTGGCAGGTGTGTGTAGTCTCAGCTACCTGAGAATCGCTTAAGCCCAGGAGTTTGAGGTTGCTGTGAGCTGTGATGCTATAACACTCTACCCAGGGCTGCAGCTTGAGATACTGTCTATAGCTCAGTGGGTAGAGCATATACTGATGCTGTCAGTTTAAACCTGGCCTGGGCCTACTAAAACAACAATGACAACTGTAACCAAAAAATACCTGGGTGTTGTTGCAGGCGCCTGTAGTCCCAACTACTTTGGAGGCTGAGGCAAGAGAATCGCTTAAGCCCAAGAGTTGGAGGTTGCTGTGAGCTGTAACCACCACACTACCCAGGGCAACATAGTGAGTGAAACTCTGTTTCAAAAAAGGAAAAAAAAAAAAGGGTAGTGCCTATGGCTCAAAGGAGTAGGGGGCTGGCCCCATATACCAGAGTTGGTGGGTTCAAACCCTGCCTGGGCCAAAAACTGCAAAAAAATCAACCACAACACAAAAAATTTTTGTGGTACACCCAAGATCCTCTCATAGCACACCAGTGTGTCACAGCACACTGGTTGAAAAGTACTCTTTTATTCTCTTGGTTTCTAGTTCTTACCCCACTCCCTCTTTTTCTTTAGTTATCTCTGAAGAGAGAAAGCTATATGTTCTGTTCAGTGCCCTAAATTTATCTCACTTCTGTCCTCTGTATTTTCTGCAAATTTAAAGTGGACTTCGGCTCGGCGCCTATAGCTCAACCGGCTAAGGCGCCAGCCACGTACACCTAAGGTGGCGGGTTCGAATCCCCAGCCCG